TATTCTCCCAATCCTCTTCTGTATCATCCAAATGCACTCTAGCAAACTTCAGACGGGCCTGGACATGTACTGGTTTAAGCAGGGGGACACGTCTGGCACTGCAGGATTTGAGTCCCTGGCGGCGTAGTGTGTTACTGATGGTAGGCTTTGTTACTTTGGTCCCAGCTCTCTGCAGGTCATTCACTAGGTCCCCCCGTGTGGTTCTGGGATTTTTGCTCACCGTTCTTGTGATCATTTTGACCCCACGGGGTGAGATCTTGCATGGAGTCCCAGATCGAGTGAGATTATCAGTGGTCTTGTATGTCTTCCATTTCCTAATAATTGCTCCCACAGTTGATTTCTTCAAACCAAGCTGCTTACCTATTGCAGATTCAGTCTTCCCAGCCTGGTGCAGGTCTACAATTTTGTTTCTGGTGTCCTTTGACAGCTCTTTGGTCTTGGCCATAGTGGAGTTTGGAGTGTGACTGTTTGAGGTTGTGGACAGGTGTCTTTTATACTGATAACAAGTTCAAACAGGTGCCATTAATACAGGTAACGAGTGGAGGACAGAGGAGCCTCTTAAAGAAGAAGTTACAGGTCTGTGAGAGCCAGAAATCTTGCTTGTTTGTAGGTGACCAAATACTTATTTTCCACCATAATTTGCAAATAAATTCATAAAAAATCCTACAATGTGATTTTCTGGATTTATTTTTCTCAATTTGTCTGTCATAGTTGACGTGTACCTATGATGAACATTACAGGCCTCTCTCATCTTTTTAAGTGGGAGAACTTGCACAATTGGTGGTTGACTAAAGACTTTTTTTCCCCACTGTATATCATATAATAATGGCGCCGGAGAAGATGGCTGCCGTTTTACAGCCCTCTAACCAATTGTACTATTATGTGTGTTTTTCCGCGTTATTTGTCATTTATTTTGTACATAATGTTTCTGCCATCGTCTCTAACCAAAAAGAGCTTCTGGATATCAGGACAGCGATTACTCACCTCGTATTGGACGAAGATGTTTTCTTCAACGAGGCGGCCGCGAAGGATATCCTACAGACACCCGACAAGGCCCAAATCCCCGTCATTCGCATGAGGAAGAGACAGAGATATCGTGGACGTAGGTCGGGGTGCCTTGTAAGGATCCGACGGCGAGCGAGTAAACTGCCGCTCCCATCAATCCTATTAGCCAATCTTCAATCATTTGAGAATAAATTGGATGACTTAAGATTACGGTTATCCTACCAACGGGACATTAAAAACTGTAATATGTTATGTTTCACCGAGTCGTGGCTGAACGACGACATGGACAACATACAACTAGCGGGCTATACACTACATCGGCAGGATAGAACGGCTGACTCCGGTAAGACAAGGGGTGGCGGTCTGTGTATATTTGTAAACAACAGCTGGTGCACAAAATCAAATACTAAGGAAGTCTCGAGGTTTTGCTCGCCTGAGGTAGAGTATCTCATGATAAGCTGTAGACCCACTATTTACAGAGAGAGTTTTTTTACCACCACAAACCAATGCTGGCATTAAGATTGCACTGAATGAGCTGTACAAGGCCGTAACTAAACAGGAAAACGCTCATCTAGAGGCAGCGCTCCTAGTGGCCGGGGACTCTAATGCAGGGAAACTTAAATCAGTTCTACCTAATTTCTACCAGCATGTTAAATGTGCAACCAGAGGAAAAAAAACTCTAGACCACCTTTACTCCACACACAGAGACGCATACAAAGCTCTCCCTCGCCCTCCATTTGGCAAATCTGACCATAACTCTATCCTCCTGATTCCTGCTTATAAGCAAAAACTAAAGCAGGAAGCACCAGTGATTCGGTTAATAAAAAAGTGGTCAGATGACGCAGATGCTAAGCTACAGGACTGTTTTGCTAGCACAGACTGGAATATGTTCCGGGATTCTTCAGATAGCATTGAGGAGTACACCACATCAGTCACTGGCTTCATCAATAAGTGCATCGATGATGTCGTCCCCACAGTGACCGTACGTACATGCCCCAACCAGAAGCCATGGATTACAGGCAACATCCGCACTGAGCTAAAGGGTAGAGCTGCCGCTTTCAAGGAGCGGGACTCTAACCCGGACGCTTATAAGAAATCCCGCTATGCCCTCCGACGAACCATCAAACAGGCAAAGAGTCAATACAGGACTAAGATTGAATCGTACTACACCGGCTCTGACGCTCGTCGGATGTGGCAGGGCTTGAAAACTATTACAGACTACAAAGGGAAGCACAGCCGCGAGCTGCCCAGTGACACAAGACTTCCAGACGAGCTAAACCACGTCTATGCTCGCTTCGAGGCAAGCAACACTGAAGCATGCATGAGAGCACCAGCTGTTCCGGATGACTATGTGATCACGCTCTCCGTAGCCGATGTGAGTAAGACTTTTAAGCAGGTCAACATTCACAAGGCCGCAGGGCCAGACGGATTACCAGGACGTGTACTCCGAGCATGTGCTGACCAACTGGCAAGTGTCTTCACTGACATTTTCAACATGTCCCTGACTGAGTCTGTAATACCAACATGTTTCAAACAGACCACCATAGTCCCCGTGCCCAAGGACTCTAAGATAACCTGCCTAAATGACTACCGACCCGTAGCACTGACGTCTGTAGCCATGAAGTGCTTTGAAAGGCTGGTCATGGCTCACATCAACACCATTATCCCAGAAACCCTAGACCCACTCCAATTTGCATACCGCCCCAACAGATCCACAGATGCTGCAATCTCTATTGCACTCCACACTGCCCTTTCCCACCTGGACAAGAGGAACACCTACGTGAGAATGCTATTCATTGACTACAGCTCAGCATTCAACACCATAGTGCCCTCAAAGCTCATCACTAAGCTAAGGATCCTGGGACTAAACACCTCCCTCTGCAACTGGATCCTGGACTTCCTGACGGGCCGCCCCCAGGTGGTAAGGGTAGGTAACAACACATCTGTCACACTGATCCTCAACACGGGGCCCCTCAGGGGTGCGTGCTCAGTCCCCTCCTGTACTCCCTGTTCACCCATGACTGCATGGCCAGGCACGACTCCAACACCATCATTAAGTTTGCCGACGACACAACAGTGGTAGGCCTGATCACCGACAACGATGAGACAGCCTATAGGGAGGAGGTCAGAGACCTGGCCATGTGGTGCCAGGCTAACAACCTCTCCCTCAACGTGACCAAGACAAAGGAGATGACTGTGGACTACAGGACAAAAAAAGAGGACTGAGCACGCCCCCATTCTCATCGACAGGGCTGTAGTGGAACAGGTTGAGAGCTTCAAGTTCCTTGGTGTCCACATCACCAACGAACTATCATGGTCCAAACACACCAAGACAGTCATGAAGAGGGCACGACAAAGCCTATTCCCCCTCAGGAGACTGAAAAGATTTGGCATGGGTCCTCAGATCCTCAAAAAATTCTACAGCTGCACCATCGAGAGCATCCTGACTGGTTGCATCACCGCTTGGTATGGCAACTGCTTGGCCTCCGACCGTAAGGCAATACAGAGGGTAGTGCGTACGGCCCAGTACATCACTGGGGCCAAGCTTCCTGCCATCCAGGACCTCTATACCAGGCGGTGTCAGAGGAAGGCCCTCAAAATTGTCAAAGACTCCAGCCACCCTAGTCATAGACTGTTCTCTCTGCTACCGCACGGCAAGCGGTACCGGAGTGCCAAGTCTAGGTCCAAAATACCTCTCAACAGCTTCTACCCCCAAGCCATAAGACTCCTAAACAGGCTAATCATGGCTACCCGGACTATTTGCACTGCCCCCCCTCACCCCATCTTTTTACGCTGCTGCTACTCTGTTAATTATTTATGCATAGTCACTTTAACTCTACCCACATGTACATATTACTTCAACTACCTCAACTAGCCGTAGTTGAAGTAATAACATTGACTCTGCACCGGTACCCCCCCTGTATATATAGCCTCCCTACTGTCACTTTATTTTACTTCTGCTCTTTTTTTCTCAACACTTTTTTGTTTTATTCTACTTTTTTTATTAAAAATAAATGCACTGTTGGTTAAGGGCTTGTAAGTAAGCGTTTCACTGTAATGTCTGCACCTTGTTGTATTCGGCGCATGTGGCCAATAAAATTTCATTTGATTTGATTTGAACTGTACTACCCTTCAACATTAGCAGAGTATCCTGTAGGAACTGTTCTACCCTTCAAGTCTGTATATAGCGCAGGCTAAAACTCAAGATCACTATCATGCTTTTCAGCTACAACAGATGAATGAAAATCTATCTAATCTATCCAATCTATCTAATCTATCTATCTTTTCAGCTACAATAGATCAATAGATCTATTTCATCAACTGTGCCATGTAGCAATTGTATGTAGGTTTGGACTATTCTGACTGCCACGCTAAGAAAGGCAAATTTACCACATGTATTTCCATATCAACCTCAGCCTAACACAGTGATGGCTTTGTGTGACAGAGAGAGCAGAGAGAGTGGGCCTACAGATGAAGAGACATCCGGTGGACTGTACACACCCTTTATTAAGAAGAGCTGGCCTGCTAGCCCCCCTACCTCTACAGAAGCACAGTTCCCGCTCAGCCCAGTCAAAGCTATTTGCTGCTCTGGCACCCCAATGGTGGAACAAGCTCCCCCACGACGCCAGGACAGCGGAGTCACTAACCACCTTCCGGAGACACTTGAAACCCTACCTCTTTAAGGAATACCTGGGATAGTATAAAGTAATCCTTCTACCGTGTTGTGTGGATCAAAATAGTAACGTTAAATGCTTTGTAGGGGGATCCACACTCAAAAAGGAGTGCAGATCTCACCTGGACCGAGAGCTTCCTCCCCTCAAAAGGTCTGTCTCACCTGGACCGAGAGCTTCCTCTCCTCAAAAGGTCTGTCTCACCTGGGCTGAGAGCTTCCTCTCCCCAAAAGGTTTGTTTCACCTGGACAGAGAGCTTCCTCTCCCCAAAAGGTCTGTCTCACCTGGACAGAGAGCTTCCTCTCCCCAAAAGATCTGTCTCACCTGGATCGAGAGCTTCCTCTCCTCATTGGGTAGGATCCTGTACGTATACACACAGTTCTGGTACCTGGAAATAGAGAAGATGGGTTATTATCATAAAGTTCACAACAGATATGGAGTCTTGAACGTTTAAAGAGATGTCTTGATCTCGTGGTCTGGATCTTGAGAGTTCTGGCCTTGACTCAATCTCTGGTTTAAAGTAACTGACATTTCACAGAAGAGTGTGACAGATGCAGTAATTATAGATTACTTTGTGTCCGATGGAAAAGAGTACATGACCATTTATGTATTTGTTTACAAGTTATTCAAATTAAAGCCCACAGTTACACATAGATGTGTGGTGTGAGTTGCACAGTGGAGTCTACCCAGCTTTGCAGCATGACAGTGTGTGCAGATAAGTTGGGCAATGCAAAACGCATGTGTAATTTAAAATAGGTCTTCATTACATAGAATTCCTGCTATATATTTAGTCACATCTAATACTGCATGCAACAACAACAACAGTATTCTAGCCAGTTTATCTGGTTGATCAAAGTCTTGAGCAAAACATTTTCAATTCCACCAGATGTACTTGGTGGTATGATTTATGTCATGATGTAAGGAAACAGAAAGTCAACATCGCATTGTTCTGCTTTGTCTGTTGCCTAATAATGTTTGTACCATGTTTGTGCTGATACCATGTTGTTGTCATGTTGTGCTGCTACCGTGCTGTGTTGTCATGTTGTGTTGCTGCCGTGTTGTTGTCATGTTGTGTTGCTACCGTGCTGTGTCGTCATGTTGTGTTGCTAACCAGTGTTTGTTGTCATGTTGTGTTGGCTACCGTGTTGTTGTCATGTTGTGTTGCTACCCGTGCTGTGTTGTCATGTTGTGTTGCTACCGGTGTTGTTGTCATGTTGTGTTGCTACCGTGCTGTGTTGTCATGTTGTGTTGCTACCATGCTGTGTTGTCATGTTGTGTTGCTACCGTGTTGTTGTCATGTTGTGTTGCTACCGTGCTGTGTTGTCATGTTGTGTTGCTACCGTGCTGTGTTGTCATGTTGTGTTGCTACCGTGTTGTTGTCATGTTGTGTTGCTACCGTGCTGTGTTGTCATGTTGTGTTGCTACCGTGTTGTTGTCATGTTGTGTTGCTACCGTGCTGTGTTGTCATGTGTTGCCGCCATGCTGTGTTGTCATGTTGTGTTGCTACCGTGCTGTGTTGTCATGTTGTGTTGCTACCGTGTTGTTGTCATGTTGTGTTGCTACCGGTGCTGTGTTGTCATGTTGTTTGCTACCATGCTGTGTTTGTCATGTTGTGTTGCTACCGGTGTTGTTGTCATGTTGTGTTGCTACCCGTGCTGTGTTTGTCATGTTGTGTTGCTACCGTGCTGTGTTGTCATGTTTGTTGCTGCCGTGTTGTTGTCAGGTTGTGTTGCTACCGTGCTGTGTTGTCATGTGTTGCCGCCATGCTGTGTTGTTGTCTTAGGTCTCTTTATGCCGTGTTGTGGTGTCTCTCTTTATGTAGTGTTGTGGTGTCTCTCTTTATGTAGTGTTGTGGCGTCTCTCTTTATGTAGTGTTGTGGCGTCTCTCTTTATGCCGTGTTGTGGTGTCTCTCTTTATGTAGTGTTGTGGTGTCTTCTCTTTATGTAGTGTTGTGGCGTCTCTCTTATGTAGTGTTGTGTGGCGTCTCTCTTTATGTAGTGTTGTGGTGTCTCTCTTTATGTAGTGTTGTGGTGTCTCTCTTTATGTAGTGTTGTGGTGTCTCTCTTTATGTAGTGTTGTGGTGTCTCTCTTTATGTAGTGTTGTGGTGTCTCTCTTTATGTAGTGTTGTGGCGTCTCTCTTTATGTAGTGTTGTGGCGTCTCTCTTTATGCCGTGTTGTGGTGTCCTCTCTTTATGTAGTGTTGTGGTGTCTCTCTTTATGTAGTGTTGTGGCGTCTCTCTTTATGTAGTGTTGTGGTGTCTCTCTTTATGTAGTGTTGTGGCGTCTCTCTTTATGTAGTGTTGTGGTGTCTCTCTTTATGTAGTGTTGTGTGTCTCTCTATGTAGTGTTGTGGGTGTCTCTCTTTATGTAGTGTTGTGGTGTCTCTCTTTATGTAGTGTTGTGGTGTCTCTCTTTATGTAGTGTTTGTGGTGTCTCTCTTATGTAGTGTTGTGGTGTCTTTCTTTATGTAGTGTTGTGGTGTCCTCTTTATGTAGTGTTGTGGTGTCTCTCTTTAATGTAGTGTTGTGGTGTCCTCTCTTTATGTAGTGTTGTGGTGTCCTCTCTTTATGTAGTGTTGTGGTGTCTCTCTTTATGTAGTGTTGTGGTGTCTCTCTTTATGTAGTGTTGTGGGCGTCTCTCTTTATGTAGTGGTTGTGGTGTCTCTCTTATGTAGTTGTTGTGGTGTCTCTTTATGTAGTGGTTGTGGTGTCTCTCTTTATGTAGTGTTGTGGTGTCTCTCTTTATGCAGTGGTTGTGGCGTCTCTCTTTATGTAGTGTTGTGGTGTCTCTCTTTATGTAGTGTTGTGGGCTCTCTCTTTATGTAGTGTTGTGGGTGTCTCTCTTTATGTAGGTTTGTGGTGTCCTCTCTTTAGTAGTGTTGTGGCGTCTCTCTTTATGTAGTGTTTGTGGCGTCTCTCTTTATGTAGTGTTGTGGTGTCTCTCTTTATGTAGTGTTGTGGCGTCCTCTCTTTATGTAGTGTTGTGGGCGTCTCTCTTTATGTAGTGTTGTGGCGTCTCTCTTTATGTAGTGTTGTGGTGTCTCTCTTTAATGTAGTGTTGTGGTGTCCTCTTTATGTAGTGTTGTGGTGTCTCTCTTTATGTAGTGTTGTGGTGTCTCTCTTTATGTAGTGTTGTTGGCGTCTCTCTTTATGTAGTGTTGTGGCGTCTCTCTTTATGTAGTGTTTGTGGTGTCTCTCTTTATGTTTGTGTTGTGGTGGTCCTCTTTATGTAGTGTTTGTGGTGTCTCCTCTTTATGTAGTGTTGTGGTGTCTCTTTATGTAGTGTTGTGGCGTCTCTCTTGTCGTGATGTGCGTTTTGTACCACGCAGGAGGCCTTTTTCCTCTTGGTAGGCCGTCATTGTAAATAAGAATTGGTTCTTAATTGACTTGCCTAGTTATACACTGCTCAAAGAAATAAAGGGAACACTGAAACAACACATCCTAGATCTGAAAGAATGAAATAATCTTATTAAATACTTTTTACTTTACATAGTTGAATGTGCTGACAACAAAATCACACAAAAATTATCAATGGAAATCAAATGTATCAACCCATGGAGGTCTGGATTTGGAGTCACACTCAAAATTAAAGTGGAAAACCACACTACAGGCTGATCCAACTTTGATGTAATGTCCTTAAAACAAGTCAAAATGAGGCTCAGTAGTGTGTGTGGCCTCCACGTGCCTGTATGACCTCCCTACAATGTCTGGGCATGCTCCTGATGAGGTGGCGGATGGTCTCCTGAGGGATCTCCTCCCAGACCTGGACTAAAGCATCCGCCAACTCCTGGACAGTCTGTGGTGCAATGTGGCGTTGGTGGATGGAGCGAGACATGATGTCCCAGATGTGCTCAATTGGATTCAGGTCTGGGGAACGGGCGGGCCAGTCCATAGCATCAATGCCTTCCTCTTGCAGGAACTGCTGACACACTCCAGCCACATGAGGTCTAGCATTGTCTTGCATTAGGAGGAACCCAGGGCCAACCGCACCAGCTTATGGTCTCACAAGGGTTCTGAGGATCTCATCTCGGTACCTAATGACAGTCAGGCTACCTCTGGCGAGCACATGGAGGGCTGTGCGGCCCCCCAAAGAAATGCCACCCCACACCATGACTGACCCACCGCCAAACCGGTCATGCTGGAGGATGTTGCAGGCAGCAGAACGTTTTCCACGGTGTCTCCAGACTCTGTCACGTCTGTCACATGTGCTCAGTGTGAACCTGCTTTCATCTGTGAAGAGCACAGGGCGCCAGTGGCGAATTTGCCAATCTTGGTGTTCTCTGGCAAATGCCAAACGTCCTGCACGGTGTTGGGGCTGTAAGCACAACCCCCACCTGTGGACGTCGGGCCCTCATACCACCCTCATGGAGTCTGTTTTCTGACCGTTTGAGCAGACACATGCATATTTGTGGCCTGCTGGAGGTCATTTTGCAGGGCTCTGGCAAGTGCTCCTCCTGCTCCTCCTTGCACAAAGGCGGAGGTAGCAGTCCTGCTGCTGGGTTGCTGCCCTCCTACGGCCTCCTCCACATCTCCTGATGTACTGGCCTGTCTCCTGGTAGCGCCTCCATGCTCTGGACACTACGCTGACAGACACAGCAAACCTTCTTGCCACAGCTCGCATTGATGTGCTATCCTGGATGAGCTGCACTACCTGAGCCACTTGTGTGGGTTGTAGACTCCGTCTCATGCTACCACTAGAGTGAAAGCACCGCCAGCATTCAAAAGTGACCAAATCATCAGCCAGGAAGCATAGGAACTGAGAAGTGGTCTGTGGTCACCACCTGCAGAACCACTTCTTTATTGGGGGTGTCTTGCTAATTGCCTATAATTTCCACCTGTTGTCTATTCCAGCAGCATGTGAAATGTATTGTCAATCAGTGTGCTTCCTAAGTGGACAGTTTGATTTCACAGAAGTGTGATTGACTTGGAGTTACATTGTGTTGTTTAAGTGTTCCTTTTATTTTTTTGAGCAGTGTATAAAGGTTAAATAAATGTAAAACAAAAACATGCAAACCGCTGTCATGAGGCCAAGTCAAGCTCCATACTGCACTGCAGGAGGATTTGTATCTGAAATACATTTAGGTATTTGACACTTCAGATTTAAATCACTCCCAATAACAACATTATTTAGCATTGATCATTGTTTTGTCTGATTTAAAGTTGTGATCAGCTCTTCCTACTGAAAGCTACTTTGATATGTGCATGCAAAGGGACAAGACTTCAACAGAGTATCTTCCTTCCTCAATTTGATCTTTCCAACAGCATTGTACCTCAGCACATTTTTAACTAACAGTTATTTCCTGTCTGCAACAGAGACTGGTCAGTATTCAGCATGGCATAGTTTACTCTCCCTGCTCACAGCTACTTTCAACTGTTACTTGCATGGAGGTATAATGGACGAACTCTCAACATCTTCCTTCCTCAATTTTATCTTTCCAACAACATTTTAGACTGTTAAACTGTCAGTTTTATCCAGATATATATATCTTATGGTATATTTTTTTACTTACAGAACACAGAGGGCATAGGCACCCTGTATGGACTCACTGTCCCGGAGGAGGAAGCTCCCATCCCTGGCTGCTTTGGAGAGCAGATCCTCAGCCTTGGAGCGGGTGATATTACCATGGTGCCATGGCTGGTACGACGTAGACATCCTGGTCCTCTACTGAAAACACTCAGCTACGTACAGAGTTCTGCATCGACTCTCATACCAGACAAGGACTTATCAGGGAAGATTCAATAACTCTTGCTAGTAACCATATTCTTCATGTTTCTTGTTGTGTGTACGCCTACAGTATATGTCCTCTTCCCCCTCCCCTCTCGCTCTCTCTCTCTCTCTCTCTCTCTCGCTTTCCCACTCCTCCTCTCTCTCTCTCTCTCTCTCTCCTCTCTCTCTCTCTCTCTCTCTCTCTCTCTCTCTCTCTCTCTCTCTCCTCTCCTCTCTCTCTCCTCTCTCTCTCCCTCTCTCTCTCTCTCTCTCTCTCCTCCTCCTCTCCTCTCTCTCTGTCTCTTCCTGTTAGTGGGGTGAAAGCTGTAAAAAGGAAGCTGCTACAAAACACGGCTTGTGACTTCCTCATTTGATAAGTTAGAGAAGAGGGATGGCCAGACAGAGAGATAGCGAAGGAGGGCCAGAGGAGAGAGAGAGAGAGAGAAGAGAGAGAGATAGAGAGAGAGAGATAGAGATATAGAGAGAGATAGAGGCGAGAGAGAGCTAGATAGAGAGAGAGAGAAAGACGAGCGGCTCAGAGATAGAAAGCGAGAGTCCGAGATCGATGAGTTGTTCCAGCTCGATAGAGATAGACGATCCATCTAGATCTCTCTCTCTTCTCTCTCCTCTCTCTCTCTCTCTCTCTCTCTTCTCCCCTCGCTCTCCATCCCTTCTTCCCCCTCTCTCTCGCTCTCTCTCTCTCTTCTTCCCTCTCTCTCCTCTCGTATTTGTTTTTTTTTCCCCTGCTCTCTCTCTCTCTCTCTCTCGCCTCTCTTCTTCCCCGTCTCTCTCTCTCTCTCTCTCTCTTCTTCCCCTTACTTCTCTTCTTTCTCCTCTCCTCTCTCTCTCTCCTCTCTCTCCTTCCCCGAGAGTATCTAGATAGACTCTGAGTCAAATTTCTCTTTAGCTGATGCCTCTTGTGCTTCCTGTCCACACCAACCAAGGGAGGGCCTACAGCAGCACCTAGATCTTCTGCACAGATTCTGTCAGACATGGGCCCTGACAAGTAAATCTCAGTAGACCCAATAATGGTGTTCCAAAAAAGTCCAGTTACCAGGACCACAATACAATTCCATCTAGACAACCGTGCCGTGCCCTAGAGCCACAAAAAAACTATACATCCTCGCCTAACTCAGACCACAGGTAACTTCCTCCACAAAGCTGGTGAACGATCTGAGAGACAAGGCAAAAGGGCCTTCTATGGCCGATCCCGCTAATTATCAACATCCATGAAAATAACCATAATTCTACAACCACCTAAAAGGAATCGATTCACAAACACAAACATACCCCCCAGAGCCCCAGACAGCAACACATTAGAAACCCAACTAAGATCATGAGACAACAAACTCCCATTTCGATAAACCCATATCTATGGTGAAAATACCACAGTGTGTCAAATCACACTGAGAGAGAGAGAGCGAGACGGCGAGAGAGAGAGGAGAGAGACGGAGAGAGAGAGAGAGAGGAGACAGAGACAGAGACACAGAGACAGAGACCGGAGTATATCAGCGAGCTAGAGAGAGAGAGATAGCATATAGCGAGAGAGAGATAGCGCAGACGAGCGCTCTCCTCGGAGAAGAGAGATATACAGCGAGATAAATAAGCTTCAATAGAGAGAGAGCACTGTAGGACCATAGAGAGAGAGAGAGAGAAGAGAGAGGGAGGACCATAGAGAGAGAGAGGGGGTCCCAGAAGAGAGAGAGAGAGAGAGCGAGGAGAGAGGAGGACCAGAGAAGAAGAGAGAGAGAGTAGGACCAGAGAGAGAGTGAGCGAGAGGAGGAGAGAGAGAGAGGAGTGCCACAAGCGAGAGACAGAGAGAGAACTGAAGTCAAGTCTACTGTAGGCCTGATGATCTGTGCTTCTTCACCACCAAGGAGGGCCTACAGCAGCACCTAATCTTCTGCACAGATTCTGTCAACATGGGCCCTGACAGTAAATCTCAGTAGGACCAAAATAATGGTTTCCAAAAAAGGTCCCTTAACCAAGACGCCACAAAACAAATTCCATCTAGACACCGTTTGCCCTAGAGCACAACAAAAAACTATACATACTCGGCCTCAACATCAGCACCACAGTAACTTCCACAAAGCTGTGAACATCTTAGAGAACACATCCCCTCAAACCGGGCCTTCTAATGCCGATACCCGCTAAATTATCAAAATCCAGAAATAACCATTAATTCCAACCACCACCTAAAAGGGAAGGCTATTTCCCGACTCAACATACCCCCCTAGCCCGACCCCCTCCTCTCCCCCTTCCCTTCCGCACCCCCCTTCTCCCCCACCCCCTAAATCATGAGAAACCAACCAATTTCGATAACCCATATCTATTGGGTGAAAATACCACAGTGTGCAATCACACTGAGAGAGAGAGAGCGAGACGGCGAGAGAGAGAGGGGGAGAGACGGAGATAGAGAGAGAGAGAGAGAGTACACTAGACAGAGACACAGATCCTCCGCTCCCTCCTAATCCTCGATCGCTCTCTCTCTCTCTCTCTCTCTCTCTCTCTCTCTCTCTCTCTCTCTCTCTGCTCCCTCTCCTCGCCCGCTCTCTCCCCTCTCTCTCTCTCCCTAGATCTTGCACCCCGTTCGTCTCTCTCTGCTCTTCTCTCTATCATCTATTCGTCTGTTCCGGCCGCACTCTCTCTCTCTCTTTTTTCCCCTTTCTACTGACTCATCTCTCTCTCTTCTCTCTCATCTCTATTCCCCACGCCTACTCTCTCCTCTCTCTCATAACTGTCTCTCTTTTCTTCCCCTCTCATCCCTCTTTCTTCTGCTCCTCTCTCTCTCTCCTCTCTCTACTAGGAGGCCAGAGAGAGAGAGAGGAGAATCTGAAGTCAAAAATGTCTACTTATGCTGATGATCTGGTGCTTCTGGTCACCAACCAAGGAGGGGGGGGCCTACAGCACAACCTAGATCTTCTGCACAGATTCTGTCAGACATGGGCCCTGACAGTAAATCCAGTAAGACAAAAATTAATGTTGTTCCAAAAAGGTCCAGTTACCAGGACCACAAATACAAATCCATCTAGAACAGAACCGTTGCCCTAGAGCACACAAAAAACTATAACAATACCGTCGGCCTAAACCTCAGCACCACAGGTAATTCCACAAAGCTGGTGAACGATCTGGAGACAAGGCAAGAAGGGCCTTCTATCCCGCTAATTATCAAAATCCAGAAAATAACCATTAATTCTACAAACCAACCACCTAAAAGGAAGCGATTACAAACACAAACAGACCCCACAGAGCCCCAGGACAAGCAACACAATTAGCCCCACTAAATCATGAGAAAACAAACCCATTTCGATAACCCCTATCTATTGGGGAATACCACAGTGTGCAATCACCTGAGAAGAGAGAGAGCGAGACGGCGAGATGAGAAGGGAGAGAGACGGAGAGAGAGACGAGAGGAGAGAGAGAGACCAAGAAGAGACACAGAGACAGAGACAGAGCAGAGACAGAGAAGACGACAAGCCAGAGAGAGAGAGAAGAGAGAGAGAGAGAGAGAGAGAGAGAGAGAGAAGAGAGAGAGAAGAGTGAGATAGAGATAGATAGGGGAAGAGAGAAGAGACCACAGATAGAGAGAGACACAGAGAGACAAGAGAGACAGAGAGACAGAGAGAGAGAGAGAGATAGAGACAGAGAGAGATAGAGACAGAGGAGAGAGAGAGAGAGACAGAAGAGAGAGACAAGAGAGATGAGGAGAGAGGAGAGAGAGAGAGAGAGAGAGAGAGAAGAGACAGAGAGATACACAAGAGAGAGAGAGACCAGAGAGAGAGAGATAGACAGAGAGACGAGAGACAGAGAGACAGAGAGACAGACAGAGAGACAGAGAGAGAGAGACAGAGAGAGTTAGACAAAAGAGCCGTTAAATTCTATAACCACTTAAAAGGAAGCGATTCCCAAACCTTCCATAACAAGCCATCACCTACAGAGAGATGAACTTGGAGAAGAGTCCCCTAAGTAAGCTTGTCCTGGGGCTCTGTTCACAAACACAAACAGAACCCCCACACAGCCCCAGGACAACAACAACAACAACAACAACAACAACACAATTAGACCCAACCAAATCATGAGAAAACAAAAAGAGAATTACTTGACACATTGGAAAGAACAAACAAAAAAACTGAGCAAACTAGAATCCTATTTGGCCCTAAACAGAGAGTACACAGTGGCAGAAGACCTGACCACTGTGACTGACCCAAACTTAAGGAAAGCTTTGACTATGTACAGACTCAGTGAGCATAGCCTTGCTATTGAGAAAGGCCGCCGTAGGCAGACCTGGCTCTCAAGAGAAGACAGGCTATGTGCACACTGCCCACAAAATGAGGTGGAAACTGAGCTGCACTTCCTAACCTCCTGCCAAATGTATGACCATATTAGAGACACATATTTCCCTCAGATTACAGCGATCCACAAAGAATTTGAAAACAAACCCTTATCTACTGGGTGATAAACTCCCTTATCTACTGGGTGAAAAACCACAGTGTGCCATCACAGCTGCAAGATTTGTGACCTGTTGCCACAAGAAAAGGGCAACCAGTGAAGAACAAACACCATTGTAAATACAACCCATATTTATGTTTATTTATTTTCCCATTTGTACTTGTTTCCTATTTGCACATTGTTACAACACTGTATATATACATAATATGACATTTGAAATGTCTTTATTCTTTTGAAACTTCTGAGTGTAATGTTTACTGTTAATATTTATTGTTTATTTCACTTTTGTTTACTATCTACTTCACTTGCTTTGGCAATGTTAACACACGTTTCCCATGCCAATAAAGCCCTTAAATTGAAATTGAATTGAATTGAGTTAGTTTGCTGAGAAGGAATACAGCTTCTTACACTTAATTAAGCTTACACACACACATGCACATTAACGCACGCACACACACGCACACACGCTCACACACACACACGCACACAAAGGACCG